CATGAATGCTCGTAAAGCTGTGCCAGGGGTCCCACAATGACCCCTGCCAATTCCCCCAGCACCCTTGGGTGGAGGTCTTCTGGACCTGCTGATTTAACATGTCCAGGCTCACCAGAAGTTCCCTGACTCAGTCCTCACTGACCCTGGGCCTGGCTGTGCCTCTCCTGAGTCTGTCCAGGATCCCGGTGGGGGGGGTGTCCCTGTCCCTGCTCAGAAATATGGAGGCAAAGAATTTGTTAAAGAGGTCAGCTTTATCCCCTGGTGAAACCACCAGGTTGCCAAGTGTTTTCTGCAGGGGCTTCACATTACCTGGTGCCTTCTTTTTACTCCCTACGTATTTAAAAGAGGACTTCTTGTTATCTTTGATCCTGGTTGCTAGTCCTAGTTGTGTCTCTGCCTTAGCCTTCTTAACAGCTCCGCTACAGCCTTGAGCAACGGAGGTATAATCCTCCTTGGGGATGGCCCCTCCCTTCCACTGGGTGTACACTTCCTTTTTAGCTTACAGATGTTCCTGAATGCCTTTGGTGAGTCATGGCGGCTTCTGAGTACTCTTGCCCCCTTTGATTCATTTTGCCTGTAGCTACAAAAGAATGGCTTGCTGATCCAGGTGCTCCCTTCCAGCTCTGCAAGAACAGCAGGGTTTAAGCAGATACCTGCTGTTGTCGCCCCTCTATGACAAGCCTATTTGTTCCCATGTTCCCACAAACACACTCTTCTAATCCAGCCATCCACACCAAATAACTCCTTTCTATCCCTGTCAGCTGCCTTGACTCTTGTGTAGCCCTTCTCCAATTAGGGATAATGCTGGATTCCTCCCACAGGTGAATTCTTTTCCCTGCACATCTTCTCTTAACAGTGCCCTGAAAGGGAAGCAATCACTTCCAGCTGTATGACAGCAGGAGCAGAGGCTTCTTTGATTAAGACTTCTGCTTAGCCATAGGTCTGTGGAAACTTTTGGCTGTTTGTGCATAAGAAAATTCTGAAGTTTTTTCCCCCATTCTTAGGTTTGTGATGCCATCTCAGGTAGGGCTTGCCTAGAAGGTTGGTTCTAGTGTCAGTGATGTGTGTGGTTGTGGCTCCTCAAGCCTTACGTCTCAGGTGCTAGCTCCAAAGCCGTGGTAGTTGTTTCAGAGCTTTGTGTGGTTTTGTGGCATGGGGGCATAGCAGCTTCCTAGAAATGTGAACTTTAAAGCTGCTATCTGTAGCTTAGCCCTGTTCCCTCTTGCTCTTATGGTCTTAAGCCAGCTTTTACTAGGTGAGACTCCAGAGCCCATGTTCCCCAGGTGTTCAGACCTGTCATGATCCTTTTTGCCTTAAAACCTACTGATCTCTTTTCCAGATCAATAGAGGCCAGCTCTCTTTGTACCCAAACATTACTAAGGTAATGCCACTGAATGGATTGCAAGTGGGTCCTTCTCTTGTGTTGCTGAGGTGGGTTTCCTTCTAGCAACATGTTCTGGGCTAGAACTTGATTCCTGTGACAGCAGTGGGAATGTAACTGTTTGCGGTTTTTAGTTACTGTGCTGTAATCCAGGAAGGCAGAAGAACTGCAGCCTTTACTTGTTGGTCTTGTCTCGCCCAAATGGTTTGCCACCTAATGTAGCTTCTCTGACTTAGCCCAATAAGTTAACATGAAACCATAAATTAATCTATAACTTCACTCACACTTTGACCTTACTGCCTTGTACTTAACTACTTCCTGAACAGGCAACTCTCTGTGAGGTCCCATATTATTATATATGACACAGCTTGCTCCTTAGGAAATGAAGAGGCACTTTATTTCTGGTATAGAAACTAAGGAAGGCACCTGAGAGGCTCAAACTCTTGTTTAATGATAATCAAAGAATGTCACTTATATAAAACTGGGTGATCCTACCCTTCTACCACTTAAAACTCATGTCTACTCTGAGAAGTGACTCTGCAAGAAATGGTAGCCTCTTCTCCTATCCCTTGTCCCTGTGCACAAGCATAGCCATAACTATTCTTTTCAGTGACTGAAATAAGGTGTAGTGGATGTTTATTCACTTCTGTGAATGCTTTAGGGCTGAACAGCTTTAGGGGAGAAAGCTGGCTTGTCCATTATCAGCTAGATCATTCTCAGAGAACAATTGTCCCTTCCTGAGCCTAGAAACCTGCATCTGGAGTCTGTCACAGCACTAATGTGTAGAGCTAACTGGAGGACCAAGGGGTAGCACACATGTGTCTTCAGTTCTAACTAACTAATGGCTCCTGATGGTGTTGCAAGAAGCATCCAGATCATCTGTTTGATCTGGGTGCCCTGAGTAGACTTGTGGGAGTCAGAAAATTCTTACTTTTGTTTTCCCCACTGTAAGTTGAGCACATTTGACCTGGAGATATTGGGAATCCATGAATGTAGCACCCACAGTGCCTCAGAGTCATCCCCAGAGCAGTCTGCCGTTCCAGGGATGTGCAAAGAGAACAGCTTCCTCCTGGGAGGCCAGGCCGTGAGGTATTGACCACTGATGCTTGTTAAGCGAATGGTTGCCCTGCCCCACATTGGTTACTCCTGGTGAGCTGCCGTTGAGCGAGGCCTTGGCTCAGACGCCACTCCTCCATTGTAAGCCCCACCTGCTCTGCTGGCTGCACAGAGGAAGAGGAGAACAGACAAGGAGGAATTACTTTTTAGTAATGACATTTGTCATGGTCCTCCTCTTCCCCTCCAACCTCCCTCTGCGTGGGAGGGAGCAGCTGGAGCGCTCAATGCTAGCAGAGTGACTGGTCTTTCTTTTGCCTCCCACCAGGTGGTGTCTTAACGTCGCTTGTGCAAATATTTCCCTTTACAGGCTGGTGGAAGAGCCTGATGGCGACTGTGATGGACCCAGCTGCTGGTAAGGAGCTCCTGTCCCCTCCAAGTCTATGTGAGGGACATCCCATGGAAATAGCCAAGGGACTTCTGCTGACTAGCACAGTTCACTGCAGATTCATGACTTTGCCTAAGTCTTCCTGGGAACCTCTGTTCTGCCAGGAAGGAGTCCTAGCTTAACCCCCTCAGGAGGCAAGGGAATTCCTCAGTGGACCCTCCTTCTTTTCAGTGATGCCTTGAGTTCTCAGGGTGATGCTGTCCACTGGAGCAGCAGTCCACTTCTCGTGTGAAGCTGGCAAAGCCAAGGGCCTAGATAATGTTCCACAAAACTCTGTCTAAGCTCTTGTGTGTGAGTCTGTTGTAGAAGAATTTGAGGGGGTGGGAGCAGGAGGTCTTCTCTTCCAGTATGTGGACTGAATAAGAGATGCCTCTGGACTAGGGAGTCTTCCTCCTCCTCCTCCCCCTATTACAGGTTGGGGAAGAGAAACTACTTAGAGCTTTTCCTCCATAAAAAGGAGCCTGATGAAAGCCCATGATAGCCCTGCTGTTTAGGAGTGGCAGGCCCTGGAGCCCATGCTGAAGGTAGGAGAAGCTGCTCTGTGATGGCTACTAAGTGTCCTACATCAACTGTGTAATAAGAGTTAAGTTCCTCGTGGATCCATATCTGCATAATGCAGGGCACTGCTGTCTTGCTACAGTGTGGCATTTTTACTGGAACTGCCCCATGTGCTCAGATGCAGGGGTCTTCTTTCTGAACAGAAGCAGGGTCTGTTGTTGTAGGGGAAAAACCTTGAGATGCTTAGAGTCAATATTCCTTTCTGAGCCGAGGAGGCAGGGAGAATGCATGGATTAGTTTCCCATATTGTAAACTGGGCTCTTAGCAAGATGGCTGCAGCTTGTGTGTTTTATAAACCCTTGGGGTTGTGCTGGATGTGATGTACTGGACACTGCTGAGAAAGATCAAGACCTTCCTGCTGGGAGGTTAGAACATTTCCCTATATCCTTCAGTAAAGGCAAGACCGAATTGCACTGTTTAGTTACTCCTTATACCAAGGAGAAAATTGCTGCTGGCTGCTGGGTGTGATTAAATGCTTCAAACCCTTTGTGTGTCTTCACTTGGGCCTTCTCTGGTGCAAGAGCTGTGTTGCATAAATATCATGGTTTTCTCATTAGACATGTATTAACTAGCCTGTTCAGGGGCCTACTTTTATGATATGATGTTTTCCCCCTGTTAAGGAGTATAGGATCCTGGAGTCTGGTTCAGAGGCCATTAGCTTACTGGACAGCAAAGCTACAAAGATTGCCAGGTTTTGATCTGATTCACATTGTGTTTATAGTGTGTGTGTGAAAGACATGGTTCAGTAAAGTATAAGAAGCCTAGAAAGGATCTTGAGGCCTGCTTTCAGAGAGCTGAGCATTTGCTGTTCTCACTGACTTTTAAGGGGGTAGCAGATGTTCTTTGCTTTCAAAAGTAGACCTCTCTATCCCTTCTTCTCTAGCAGTCCCACTCATAATAGAAGAATGTTTTAGAAGCTAAATTCTCTAACTGGCATTTCTTGGGTAAAATTCTCTGGCCAGTGTTAGACAGGAAGCCAGATTAGATGATAACTGGTCTCTTATAGCTTTATAACCCCATGATTTTTATGTAAATATAGCATCTAACCATTTGCTAGTCTAATGCTGACCAACCAGAAAAGTCCTTGCTGGATTAACTTGCTCCATCTCTAACCCTTAACCTTTCTCCTTAGCAGCCTGGCCTGTTACTGCTGTTCTTACTCCTTCTACTCCTGCTCATGTTGTATCTTTTGGGGATCTCATTTTTCCTTTGGTCTATTATTTCTTTTCCCCCTTGTTCAGCAGCATCAACTGAGCCTGAACTAGTGGTGAGGAAGTACTTGGAAGAGCTGCAAGATGCCCCTCCTGATGAGGTGAGTGTGGAAATCCAAACAAACGTAACAGAATTTTCCCCCAAACTAGGGAAGAATGCAAGAAAACCCCCAGGATTCCTGTGTACTGGACAAGTCAAGCCTAAAAAGTGAGACAGTTCCTTGGAACAGAAGTTAGACCCACCTCTTATCCCTTAAGTTGAGCATTATTTAGTCTGGAGAAGAGACGATTGGGGAGGAGGCAATTTGATAAAGGGATTCATTAAGGAGAAGTGCCAAATTCTGCACTTAGGATGGAACAATCCCATGCGCCAGTGCAGCCTGAGGCCCAACCAGCTAAGCAGCAGCTCTACAGAAAAGGAGCTGGAGGTTACCATGGACAGTAAGCTGAATATGAGCCAACAGTGTGCCCTTGTTGTGAAGAAGTTTAACAGCATACTGAGCTACATTACTAGGAGTATTGCCAGCAGGTCAAGGGAATTGATTATTCTTCCCCTCTATTTGCCACTGGGAAGGCCACATCTGGAGTACTGTGTCTAGTTTTGCCTCCTCCTACAGAAAGGATGTGGACAAATTGCAGAGTCCAGCAGAGGGTAACCAAAATTGTTAGGGGTCTGGGGCACATGACTTTTGAGGAGAGGCTGAGGGAACTGGGCTTATTTACTTTGCAGAAGAGAAGACTGAGGGAGGATTTAATAGCAGCCTTCAACTACCTGAAGGATGGTTCCAAAGAGGATGGAGTTCACAGGTGACTGGTAGGGAGGGCATATGCCCCCCCTGAGATTGGCCCCCGACTTGGCACTGCTTAGGTCAGGGCAGTTTTTTTGCTTCATGGGCCAGCAGTGTGTTGGGGGGGGAGCCATGGCACAACAGTGGATATGGGGCTTTTGGACTGGACGTGCCCACAAAATGTGCCCCAGACTCCGGGGGCACTAGTCACCACTGAAGGAGGTAGACTGTTCCCAGTTGTGGCAGATGACAGAACAAGGAGTAATGGCTTCAATTTGCAGCAAAGGAAGCTTAGGTTAGATTTTAGGAAAAACTTTCTCACAGGAGGGTAGTAAAGCAGTAGAACAGGTTACACAGAGCATCTGTGCAATCTTCTTCATTGGAAGTTTTTAAGACCCAGCTAGACAAAGCCTTGGCTGGGATGATCTAGTTGGAGATGGTCCTGCTTTGAGCAGAGGCCTGAACTAGATGCCCACCTGAGGTCCCTTCCAACCCTATCTTTTTATGATTCTGTGATAACAGTCTTCAAATACCTGAAGGGTGATCTATCAAGAGGATGGAGATAGTCTTTTTCTCTATAGTTATAGAAGACAGGACTAGGACTAGGAGCAGTAGCCTCAAACTGGAGAAAATTTAGTTTGACAAAATGTAGGGAGATCTTTCTGACTATGAGGATAGTCAGGCATTGGAAGTTGTGAAATCTCCATTCCTGCAAATTTTCAAGGGTAGGTTAAACAAACACTTTGGCTGGGATGGTTAGTTGGGATGATCCTCCCTGAACAAGGGGCTGAACTAGATAGCCTTGTGAGGTCCCTTTCCAGCCATACTTTCCTATGATCCTAAGTAGAGCTCCACTGATATAGGCAAGTTGAAATCTGATCCTATGCTGCTATCATTTGCAATTATGATGTACTGCCTCCCAGCAAATGAGCTGCAGTGGTCATAGAAATATCCTGTTTGTTTTTTTTAGCTTGTGCTTGGGAAGTGTTTACACCCCTGTAAGCCAGGGGCTGATACTTAACCATGTACTTCAGTGACCTGTACCCTAGGTGGAGCAGAAGCAAGGTGGTGAAAATCCGACTATGTGTTTAACTCCTGTTGATTTTTAAATACTAATCTAACCCTTCTTCTTAGTAAGGTGGTTTCCAACACCCTCTGCTTCTCGACCACTGTGCACTTGCTCCCACCATGGAACCGGTGGTGTTGCCTCCTTTGTTGCCCTGAGCAAAGTTGTGGGGTGGGGAACACCCAGGGACATGTCTGGGACACAGGGCATAGCAAGGGGGCTCTCGGGTCTTGACAACTGCAGGGCTCCAGCTCCACAGGGAGGGGAAGGACACCAGAGTGGAGCTGAAGTAGCTCTAGAGTCCTGATAGCTTTAGGGAAAGGTGTTCCCCAGCTAAGGAGTTAAACCTCTTGCCTACCCCCCAGCCTTCTCAAAGATGCTGCCAAATACCATGTTGAATGGGGGAATAAAACGCCTAATTCGGCAGCAGGATGGATATCACCTGTATTCACCCCATTTCTGTCCTTCATAGCATTTAGCTGCCAGGGCCAGAGAACCTCCTTGATGTTACTGCCCAGCTCCTAGCTCCTCTCCTCACAGCCTGAGCCTGTAGCTCAGGGGTGGGCAATTATTTTGGGTGGAGGGACGCTTACTGAGTTTTGGCAAGCCATTGAGGGCCATATGGCAGGCAGCCAGGGGCAGATAAATACTAATTTTCTAAATTTTTTAGGGGCTCCACGGGTTGGATAGAATGGCCTGGTGGGCTGCATCTGGCCCCCAGGCCACATTTTGCCCACCCCCACTGTAGCTGATGGACTAGCAGCATAGCTACTTCTATTTTGGTACCCCCCAACCCCCATCAATCAGCACCTGAGACTGGTGGTGCCCCCTCATCCTTCCCTAGTTACATTCCTGCGTGGAACTTGTATTCTCCAGAATCCACCCATCAGTTTGAGACTGTCCAACCTTTCCTGTGGTTGAGGAAGCAGGCAAGTAGCTAGGAGCCAGCTGAGGATGCTGACCTGAGGTTTGAGACTTGCGCAGGGCTGTTCCAGGTCTTGCTGGAGCATGTAGGAGGCAGACTCTCTACACAGTGTGATGCAAATATTCTGCAGGCAGAGGCATCCCAGTGTTTTTTTTTCCCTTGCAGATTACGCATCAGGGAAGGAAACTGCTTCTTCAGCAATTAAATGAACTTCAGGATCCCAAGAGCTAGCTTTCAATATGAGATCTCTGAGGGAGAATACATAGTGCCGCTTGGGAGGTCTAGAAGGCAGTTATTGTGTGCTTTTTCTGGCCCAGTACTAAAACTCTAAGAGATTTTCCTTTGTTTTCACTGGGAAAGGAATAAGTTAAACAGGGATGGAAACCAAAGTAGCAAACCCCATTCCCTGACCTGCACCAGCTCAACCCTCCTAGCATCTCTCATCCTGTATCTGTGAGACTGGTCTCTTGAAATCATCACCACCCTGTGCACATGCTAGGAATCCCCTGGCAAACTTCCCATCCCCTCATTCCTGTTTTGGGCACCTGTGAGGCAGCCCAGAACTTTGGGGTTTTTCAGTACATGGGTTACTGGAAAAACAACAATGTGGATTACTGCAGGAGGGTCCCTGCATCAATTGGATTAATGACGGGGAGGTGTAAAACTTACAGGAGCTTTCTTTTTCCCCCTCCAAATAGGAAAAAATCATGGTTTTCCCGAGAGGTAAAAACTAGGAAGGGGAGGGATTTTTTCAAAGGAAGTTATTAAAAGTGCATTGCTGTGTACTGCCTCTGGTAAGTTGATGCACCAAGTTCAGTGCCTTTACTATAAAATAATCTTGCTCCCTTTTGATTCAAGGATTGCATCATCTGTATGGAGAAGCTGGCATCACCTTCTGGCTACAGCGATGCATATGAGTGCAAGACAATCAGACCTGAAACTGTGGGCCGACTGGCGAAATGCCAACACACTTTCCACCTGCTCTGTGTTTTGGCCATGTACACCAATGGGAACAAGGTACTGCACTTCCCCATCTCACTGACTTGCAGGGTGAGGCCAAACCCAGGAGTGGGGCCCAGCACTGCAGATACTAAAGCCTTGTAGCTGCGTGCTTCTAATGGTGGCCCTGTTTCCTCACAGGATGGGAGCTTGCAGTGCCCCTCCTGCAAAGCCATCTATGGAGAGAAGACTGGTACTCAGCCAAAAGGGAAGATGGAGGTGTCAACTTTCCCTCGGTCCCTCCCTGGCCATGAGGACTGTGGAACAATAAAGATTGTGTACCACATCAGTAGGGGAATTCAGGTACTTAGGCAAAGGTAACCCTTTTACTAGGGAGCACTGAGTCCAGGGAGTAAATGGAACTGGCTCAACAGCCATCTTTTCCAAGTACTAACCAGCTGACTCGATCTCTCTTCTCTTCCTCAGTAGGAGCTTGTTTGAGTTGCCCCTGGTGTCGTTAGGAATTGCTTTGGGCAATCAGATCAAATGATTCAGAGAGACTCAGATCCATCTTAAACCAAGATATTTGGAGCAGGGGAAAGGGGGTAATTTAAATTCATGTCCACGCAGCATCTTCGAGTATTGTTCAATCACAATATTTGTGGCCATGGAACTCTGAAAGGAAGGCCTTTATTTGCTTGGGAGCTGCTGGGCTCTCTTCCCTACTGGCTTTCACCTGATGTAGGTGTTAATGCTTGTACAATGGTGCTGTGGAATTGCTAGCAGCACTTCCACAAGCACTGCACATGTGTGATGAACTCGCAAGATGTGAATTGGGCAAGATTTGGATCAAGTAGTTTGTAAACTGAGCCATCTGAAGTTCCTATGAACTAGACATGGCCAAGAGGTTGGTTCCTAAATCTTATTTCTCCCAAAGCTGAAGTGTATTCATACCATGACTCTTATAATTTGTTTTTTGAATGTTTGCTGGATAATTGAGTCTACCAGCATCTGAAAGTGACAGAGGTCTTTTGAGACATGCTAGCTTCTGAGAAGAGATCTGATTTGCTTTACAAGGGATTAGGTGGCCTCTTAAGTAGACCCAAGGACCTCCCTTGTACTGAAAGTCTGGCTTCAGACAGGACTATCTTGAATCCTTCTGCTATTTGAACCTTTTTAATTCTTTCCTGGCATCAGCCTACGTAAAGTTGTAAGAATTATTATAGCATATGTTGCCTTTCTCTGTTGCAGGGTCCAGAGCACCCCAATCCAGGGATGCCATATACAGCAAGAGGCTTTCCCCGTTACTGCTACCTACCAGATAATGAGAAGGGCAAAAAGGTAACTGGCTTGTCTGATAATTGCTGTCCTGGTAATCTTTTCACTTTGGGCCCACACACATTTTTGTTTTTAGCCTAAAATGAGCCATGTCTAAAATGTTTCCATTTTGTGGAGCCAACTGAATTACCTTAACTGATCTGAGATGGTTGGAGAGCATATTGCAGAAGCTCGGATCTGTTAACAAAGCTTCCTTGTTGTTTTTCCCATCCCATCTCCAGGTGCTTGAGCTATTGAAGGTGGCCTGGAAGAGACGCCTGATTTTCACAGTGGGCACATCTAGCACAACTGGTGAGAGTAACACAGTGGTTTGGAATGAGATCCACCACAAGACAGAGATGGACTCAAATCTCAGTGGCCATGGCTACCCTGACCCCAACTATCTGGACAATGTGCTGGCGGAGCTGGCAGCTCAGGGTGTCACCGAGGACTGCTTGAGACCATGAGTTCCTCCAATCCTGGATTTGTACAGCGTCTGTGCATTGCACACTCAATGCCTACTCGAGCCTGTGAATGGCAGCTAGTGCACTTATTCCTGTTGCCTTAAGTTCCTGCATCTAATCACTTGTCACACTGAGCAATAACACTATATTTGGAAGCCACATGTTCTGTACAGTCTGTTTTCTGCAGAGAAGGCTATTTTTGTATAATCAAAGGTCCTGCAAGTGTACATTGTAGCACTGATGCTGCAGCCAGGGCACACTTTGGAACATGTTCATTCGGTGGCTAAGCCTCTCCTTTCCCTGCGTGCTTCGAAAGCACTTGGGCAGGCATGACTCTTGCCCAGGTGCTGACTTGGGGGAGGTCTTGCTGCCTTTGGATCTGCAGCAAGTAGAAAGGGATGGCCTTGCTTGTCCTGCCAGCAAACTGCAATTGCGCCTCACTCAGGCACTTTAGGGTACCGCACCTTCCCCTGTTGCTGGTTTAATACATACTACTTTTGTGTTGTGGTCATAATAAATGCTGCGTTGCCATGGAGAATTGCTGATTAGCCTTGAAACAACATCCAATGCTTTTGATGTTTCTTTCTTAGACATGGCTCTTCTGATGGAGCTCGTCCTGGACTCCCTGCAGCATCCAGCAGTGTTTGTTCACTAAGTGAATGGCTGCCTCTCTGGATACAACAGGGCTTTTCTCAGCAGTGCAGCCCAGGCCTCTTAAAGGAGTGTCATGGACATAGTGACCTATTGCAGTCTTATTCACTGCCTATCCCAGGAGAAGGAAGGCTCCTTAGTAGACTGGTTCTGTGTCCTCTTTTTCTTTCCTGAGAAGACTTCTCATTGTGCTGCCGCAGAACACAATCAATTTTATTGTGTTGGGGTAGGGAGGAGTTGGCACTTTCCTTGTAAAAGCCCTCTGAGTGGTGACACAGCCTTAGAGAAAAGAGGGTCATCTTGTTCCCTAAAACGATTTGGCTGATTTGACTTGGGACAGGAATTTTTTTTTAAGGAAAAACTGAAACGTCTAGCTTTCAAGGCAGGTCCTGAGCCCTAGCTTGATTCTGTGCACAGGCTCTTGTTCTTTGTCCTGTAGGACAGAAAAGCTGTAGGCCTGGGTGTAGGAACCAGCAGCTGCAGTGGTCCTGAGGTAGTGAGGTGAGGTGCAAAGGGCCACCTTCAGTTAAATATCAGTCGGGGTTTGCCTTACTCAAAAGGTGACTTCTGGTTGGGCTAAATGCCCCTGTTTTAAAAGGCATTAGATGCATCTAATTTTCACTTGGAACCTTTGCCTTAGCCCCTGTGGACAGTGCTCTAATCAGTCTAGTGCAGTCTGCCCTAATCAAGCACCTTTCTCTGACACTGGGCTATACAATGTGGGGTGAAATTGCTCATTGTATATATAAGTGTGCTGCTGCCTCTCCCAATGGAGCAAGTCACTTGGTGAAGCCAGGTGTGGCTGGGTATCTGCAGCAGTCATAGTTGGTGCAATACCTCTGCAGCCTTCCCCAAAGATGAACTTAAGTGGCTTCTGGAGGGGTGGAACCGTCTCCCTTCCTTTGTCACCTCCAACTTAACACAAGGGTGCAGGGAAGAGCAGGGGGAATTGCTTCAATAAAACAAACTGGAAACCCCCCAGTGCCGGCACTTCTGAGACCCTGGGGTAAACTTTGAACTCACTACTGACTGGCCCTTTCCTGCTGCATTTAGTTGAGCTGCCTGGGTAAGGGGCTCTCCCTTTCTCTGACTTGTAGAATTAGAAAAGATAACGTTAGCGTGATAATGGAGAGAAGGGAGGTTGGTGCCGCCGTGTGGCTGTAGATAGGACTTGTTTCAGTAAGCTGTCCTGGAGACAGACCTGCCTTTTAAATGTCATGGGTAGCAATTACTCTTCCTTTCCAGGCAAGAGTAATTTAGTAACTTGTTCTCCCTCCACACAGTGCTCTATTTGATTACAACTGTCAAAGCACAGGGGCCCTGGGAAAGCATTAGCGGAGCAATCAAAGTCAGGTTGCTGCCACTTCATCCCAAAGCAATAATCATGTCCAGAGCAAGCAAAAGGATCAGCCCCTTCTCAAGCCAGAAAGGACATAGCTCTGAAACACATTGATCTGACTATTTTGTCTCTGCTGTCCCTTAGCCTAATTCTCCTTCTTGTAGGCAGCTGCTGTTAGCTGTAGCTGTGTAAGTTTGGGCCCCCACCAGCATCTTTATTAGATTTGTTCCATGAAGTTCCAGAACACAGGGGCTCCTTGCTCCTGCACTTGCCTGTCCCATGTTAGGTTTTTGCAAGCTAACACCTAAATTAGGACCCAGTGGACAGATTTTAGGTGGGATAATTTCTGCGTGTTAGTTCACGATTTAGTTGGCAACTAAGGGTGCGCCCCCAAGAGTGCACACGTGCAATTTGCAGCACTGCAAACCTCACATGCTGCACGTGCATGCATTTGCCACACAGCTAATAAGTAGCTCAACAGGTTTTTTTGACACTGGGAAATCCCAGTGACAAAAAATGCACCAAAAAAAGCAGTGCAGCATACATAGTTATGGCATACATGACTCAAAACCAAAGCCTGGCTGGCCAGAGCCATGCTCTGGCTGCCTGCCAGGTTCTATGTGCCCAGATCACCGCCACTGAAACTCCAAGAGGCCCCCAGGTAAGGCTGCTGGGCTAGCCCAGGTGTTGGCCCCAGCTTCCCCTACCCTACCTGGAGCAATTTGCCATGTGCCATAGTGCATGTGCAGGGGCATGCCTGGGGACAACTAGTGGCAGCACAAATACGTGTTGCTGCTACTTGTCCCCAGAGAAATGCACATTCTCACTTGTGGGGTTGCACCCTAATTGTCCATTTAGAACCAGCCCCTTCCAGGGGACCTGGTAACAGTCTATAAAATCACTAGGGGGGACCAGAAGGGTTTGGGAGAGACCTTGTTTCCCCTAGCACTCCCTGGCATAACAAGGAATAACGGCCACAAGTTGTTGGAGAGTAGGTTTAGATTAGACATCTGTAAGAACTACTTCACAGTTACGGCGGCTAGGATCTGGAACCAACTTTCAAGGGAAGTGGTGCTGGCTCCTACCCTGGGGGTCTTTAAGAAGAGGCTTGATGCCTACCTAGCTGGGATCATTTGAGCCCAGTTTTTTCTCCTGCCCTGGCAGGGGGTCGGACTTGAAGATCTATAAGGTCCCTTCCGACCCCACTTCTATGATTCTGTGATTCCAGTTAGATACAGAAAGTGCAACCTTCTATTGCCTGTACCACCAAAAAGTCAAGGTGGGCCTAAAGACAAGAGACAGGGCAGGCCTGTCTCTACTTAAGATAAGAGGGGCTGAGCAGCTTTCTCTGTGCAACATGATCGCTGCTCTTTGAATCAGTAGACAGGTGGCTTCTAGTCAAGGGGCCTAATGTGGAAGCAGTTTTATGGTTGACCCTCCAGCACCTCCAGGAGATGGGAGCAGAGGTACTGGCTCTGTTCACCTAGAAGCCATCCTCCTAATTGTTCAACCAAGAAGAGCAGTAAAGCTGAGGAAAACAAACCCACAGGATTTCTTAAGTGTGTGTTTCCCTCAAGATGCATCTATACTAGTGTTAAAGGGGAGCAGGGGGGGTTGCAAGGTTTGGGGTACCTGGTTTTAAAGTGTCATGGTGGTTCTTAATGAAGACAAGACTGTGGTATCCTATATGCAAGATAAAGAAGGGTAAAAGTCTGGTGAACCCAGAGCTGAGAGGCTCCTGCAGAGCTCCATATTCAAAGTGGGCTGATGAAGCTCTTGGATATAAGGAAAGGAGTGGAAATGTCCAAAGTGAGTCTGCTGTATAGGCTGCCAGAGCTGTGTGAGCAGGCAGCAATGCCTGGACCTGTTCTCTCATTAGCCTACAGGTGGAATCCAGGCCTCTTAGATGACTTCTTGGCTGAGGTGGGAGTTGAGCTGCTGTTTGTGCAACCAGTTGAATCATGACATCTTTGGAGACATTAGCCTAATACTTATCCTGTGGAAAGTACTTTGTGGCTCAGGTGGGTTACAAGCTGCTTCCCTTTCAGGGTGCTGGATTGAATCCAGATCCCGCCACAAATGGCCCTCAGAGCTTGCTTTGCGTTTCAGCAGAAGATTTTGGAAGTTTGTGAAGGAAAAATAGCAGGGGCATAAGAAGAAGGCCCAAACAGCATTGGCATGGTGTGTAAAGGTAGAGCGCTGCTGGGCAGGGAGGGTGCTTTACATGCCTTTGCTGTCTAAACCTGCTGGGGGGCTTTCGGCTGGCTGCTGCATGGGAATTAGGAAGTAGTTGAGGGATGAGGCTGGTGGTATTCTACGGCGGGGGGGGCCAGCCCATGGCCTTACTTGATCCTCCTTACAATGCCGTCAGACCAGGTGGTGCTCAACTTCCCAACGAGGCCAGCTCTGCACATGGGGGATGCATCAGCCTTGTGCAACACTTGGAACCCATTTGCAGGGCAAGGGGAACAGCACCTCTTTGTGGGCCGTGTTTATTCTGGGCCTGTAAGGTGTCTGCCACAATGGCACCTGTGGCAGGGGCTTGTAGGTGCTATTGTAGTGCAATAATCATGCCTCCTTGCATCCTGCTAAACCCTGCAGCAGCTGGCTCTGTGCCCAGGGAGGCTCCCCTGCAAGAGAATCCTGCTTTTAATCTGTTTCCACCTTCCTGGGCTCAGGCCCTGCTCCTGCATATACTGGCATCCAGGCATGAGCCACAGTTACCCTTTCTCAGTGACCCAATCCCGGGCGAGTCTGGCCTACTGCCATGCTTGCAGCCAAGTGCATGTGCGTGTGTGTGTGCATGTATGTTGGCAGGGAGAGGCATTAATGAAGTGACACATCTTGCTTATGTCACAGGCTTGATTTATATGGGAGGAAGAGCCACTTTTCACCCGTAGAACGCTGCTTCGTTCGGTAGTGTCTTCTAACAGCCTCAGAAGCCATAGTACAAGGGGATGCTGATGTAAATTGGGGTCTACAACCCACCTTCTTGCCTTGCTTTGCTTCCTCTCTCCTGCCTCTCGCTGGCACTACCAAGGGGTGGACAGAACAGAGACCAAATTGGGTGTGGGGAGAAGGAGGGAGGTGCTGTTTTTGTGACTTCGTGGCATAGCAGGGCTCCCTGCTGAAGAGGCACCAAAGGTCCGGGTGAGGAAGGGAGGCCATTGCTGACTTGGAGGTGCGACACCATCACCGCAGTGGGGAAGGAGAGGGGCTGCTGGGAGGGAGGGAGTCGGGAAAGGAGGAAAGAGTCTAGAGTCAAAGCCATTTTCCTCCAGGGACAGGTGTGCTGCCCCACAGGCTGTGATGTGGGGAAGCTCTGTGTAAAGGCTAGGTAGTCCTGAGACCTTAGAGCAATGGCTGTCACTCAGCCAGGGTGCCAGGGCATCTAGAGGTGCCATAATGTCTTTTGCCATGAGGTGTGAGATATGTAGATATGAAGAAATGAGTGCAAGCTCAGGCTCATCCCTTCCTGGCTGCTGCCCCAGCCCCCCTGCCAGGAGGTAAGCAATGCAATAAAGTATTTTTGTAATGGGCTGCTGCTCATTTCACAAGTTATGGAAGGGTGCCTCCAGTCTGAAGAGGCTGAGAACCGCTGCCTTAGAGGTGAGGGCTGAAAGAGCAGGAGAGGTGAAGAGCCCCGCCTGACTCACAGAGGAAACTTCAGGGCTTGGCTCAGAGGAAGCACTTTTTATATGTGGGTCTTAAAGGCCTTTACAGAGGGAGGGCCAAATGCCTTGTTAACTCTTACTGCCCTTTTTAGGTGGGCAAACTGAGGCACAGAGTGGGACCCTGACTTGCCCAAACTTATGAAGTGGGCCCTTTCCCCTTAAGCCCAGGGCAGAGCTCTATCCACTCAACCTGCCTGCCCCATCCCAGCAAAGCAGCAGGGCACTGCCTCACCCAGCCACGACCTCCTGATGCAGCCGGATCCCTGTTTACCTTGGTGCTGGTGCTCTGTGCTTGGGAGTGGGGGTGTTGATCACATTAATAAGCACCCACCTGAAAGCGGGGGCAGTCCCAGACTGCTGAGGGCTTCAGGGAGCCCATTGGAAAAGCCCTTAGCCGTGTAACCGAGCTCTGAGCACTCTGCACTCGCCTTCATGCCACGGGCCTGAAGGAAAGAATGAACCAACTGAGCTGCTCAGGAAGATGTACGGATGATTTCCCTTTGGGAATTGGGGCTCCTGGGGCAGAGGGGAGAAGGGGGTCTTTTGGTCTCTTCCCCTCAGTACAATGTAGCTACCCTGCCTGCTTGGGTCTAGACAGCATCGGCACGCCTGCAGTGCTGTAGGACAGGGGTGAGCTGAGGAGTAGAGCATGAGGCAGATGGGAGAGATACTTTGCGGGGCTGGGGACAGGTGCAGGGCGGAGGAATTCTGCAATGCCACGGGACAGGTCTGGGCTGTGGAGCAGATGATAAAGACAGGTCTGGTCAAATGCCTGATGAACTTGTCATTGCCCCCAGTGCAGTCTCCTTCCCCCGTCTCACTCACAGAGTTTCTTTAACCCTCATTCATTCTTGCAAATACTCTGCATTTGAATGAAGCAGGTATCACTACTTGTTCGTTAGGTGTGTTGTAGGAAGTGCAATCTGAGACGTGCTGACTGAATGATGGGGAAATGAAACTGGGCCAACCTATGTCTGGACTGGACTGTTTAGCCTCCTTCTGCTGACAGCAGTGTCTGAGGAGAGGAGCTATGTGGGTCCCTGCACTGCTGGCTTTCCCACAATGCACCAGCAATGAGCACTGTTAAAAATGAGGCAGTTTATTACTGACCGAGAACTGATCCTGTATGTATGTGAGTGGAGCATCTGAATGGAAGACTTTGTCACATGCACAACACAGGGCAAACCCCCATCCCACTGAGGTTTGTGTCCCATAGCCCACCTACTCTTTAGGGGGTCAGCAATAGCACAACAACCCTGCACCCCTGCGCCCCGCCCCCCTGGCCGCAGTTCAACTGCACTGGGTGGATCTTTTTGTAATGAGCATCTGCAACAATACCATCATGCAGCCCAGCCAATACAGCTTCCTTAGCTGTGTCTCTGCCCAGGCTGTTTCTGTGACAGGTCGGGGTTTTTACACTAGCTCTACCACTGGCCTGCTCATTGACTTCATGCAAGTTGCTTCTTCTTTATGTGCCTCAGTTTCCCCATTTGTAAAATGGGAATAACAACAGTGCTCTCCTTTGTTGAATGTTTGGACACTTACCATTGAAGGGGCCTGTTTCATAGTAGCTAGGGTCAGGAGGGACCTGAACAGATCATCTAGCCCGACCCCCTGCCACAGGTGATCATCCAACCCCCTCTTGAATTTGCCCAAGGTAGGGGCAAGGACCACTTCCCTGGTAAGTTGGTACCAGATTCTGGCCACCCTAACTGTAAAAAATTGCCTCCTGATCTCTAAATCAGCTGGTTACAGCAGCTGGTGTGTTTAATTCTCTATTAGGCCTCATGATCACTGTGCTACTTATTTCTGCCTGATTGCCAAGCTACTGCTGGGGTCTAGAGGGGTCTTTTGACTTTGGGAGATTATGGTTGGGCTTGTGGGCTGCATGGGCCAGCATGTGTCTAAACACCACCAGTGAGTGATCTGAGATTAGAGCTAACACAGTAGCCATTGTTAGTGAGTCTATTGAACCCAATACTCTATTAAGAAAGCAGCAAGTAGCAGGCAGGTTCCTAAACAAATTTGGGAACTGCAGAGCAGAGGGATTGTGTGGGACTGCTAGTATGGGTGCTCCTCCTGCAGCGTGAGCAAAGGAATCAGGGTTACCAGGTGGTTCCAGCTAGAGACCAGGAGCAAGAGCCTCAGCTTGGCACATCCCATTGACCCCACTCCGATGCATGCCCCCTCCTGCCTGGTCTCCTTCTGCTGTCACTGTCACTAGGACTCTGTGGGAGAAGACCCCTTTTGCAGATGGCTTCCCTCTGTGAGGGACAGGTCCTGTTTTTGATTTTTTGGAAGCAAACAGGGTTCCAAGATGTGTGGGAAGGAGAAAGAAAGAATGGAAATTGTAGCATTTCTTAAAGCAGCTGATTGGAACGAGGCTCGATCAGTTTGGCCAAACTCAGTTACATCTCAGTGGAAGAGAAATCACAGCCAGAAGGTCAGTAGGTCTGACTTTGTTTTCTGGAAACATGATTAAACTGTTTTGTGTGTGACTGCCTCACCATTCCCCTTACTGCATGCACAGGGCACTCACACAGCTATGTGCACAAGGGAAGGACCTGAGATCCAGTTTTGTGTTTATCAGCTCTAAGGAATGTGAAATGGGGCCTCATGGCATTTCAGCTCCTGATGAGTATCAGTATAAAGAGAAAGCTTGGCAGCACTTTGTGTTCGCCTCCTGAATATCCTTCTAAGATGAATGTGGCTTGGGAAGCACAGATGCTGGGGTTTCTGTGGGCACCTCTGGGACCAGATGCTTTACCACAATGCATACAAAGTGTGTGAAGTCCATGGCAAAGCTCCCAGTGACTCCTGGCAGCTTATCCTCCTCAAGATGTGATGCCATGTATGGTAATGGTGTCATCATCATTCACATTGGGGTCACTGGAAGTAGGCTCAGACCCAGAGGTCTCATCTTTTCCTGCTGGGATCAGTTCTTGGAGCAGATGTACTTGTGGACTTCTTGGGGCTCACCATCTATGTCACAATAGCCTGTGACCTCAGAAGACTGGACTTGGTAGTCAAAATAGTCCCTTACAGTCTTGTGTTCCTCATTCCTCTGGAAGAATACACTCCAGTGGTGGATTGTTCCCATTCTGAAAGGCAAATTCATTCAGGCAGGTTTCTGCTACACTGTCCAAATTGCCAAGAATGCCAAAAATGCAGTGTAAAACCAGATCTGAGGCTGGTTTCCAGTGCCTCTCCCCCCGGCATGCCTGGAGGGCAGAGAGACAAGCTAGGAGACCCAGAAACACGTGCAGCACAGCAAGGAATATCAGAAAATAACATAGTCCAAGGGAAGAACATCCTATGGGAGTGGCAGGATCTGTGACCTAGGACCTAAACTGTGGCAAATGTGGGTGCCTCAGTTATTGGCAGCCTTCATCACTGGGCATACAGGGACCTGGTTGTCAGAGGTGCTTCACACCCACTGCCCAGTTAGAGCCCAGTTTACCACTTCAGTTACAGAGCCACAAGCGCTTGGCTCCTGACCCAGCCAGGACTGGGCACCTCCTTTGTGAATTCTGGGCCTGGGTTCTCTGTTCCTGGGTTTCTCCATCTATAAAGTGAAGTGTTTGGGCACAAGGGGCAGCTTGGGACCTGCCCACCCTAGCCCAGGTCAAGAGTGCTGCATCCGAGTTCAGGGTGGGTGGTCTTCCAGGTGAAACACTAGGCCAAGACTCAGAAGATTTGGAAGTGGCACAGACCCCCCTATGGGGTGAGTTGACCACGTGGGGCTGGGTTCTCAAGGGCTGAGTGTCTGCACTGGGCACATTTCCCAAAGAACTCAGCTCCTGTTCAGGCAGATTTTTATTAGAGATCAGTACCCATCATATGGAAAATCTGGCTGAGCTGTGGGGACCAAGTGCTTCTGTGCCTCGTTTCCCCTTCTGCAGGACATGGGTGATAATAACACTGTCCTACCTCAGAGGAGCTTTGTGAAGGTAACTCCTCAGGGCCTGGTGCTCACAGGACTGAGGATGGCATCTGCAGGGGTGACATCAAATCCCCTATCATTCACAGCACCTAAGGCTGAAGGCACCATGAGATTCATCCTGACTGGCTTCCAGAGACCCTCATCATGTTGAACCAAACAAATAGGTTCACAGCTGAGCAGGGCTCAGATCTAGGGTCCCAGCTCCTGCCTGCCTGCAGTATCACTAAGTCCCAACAGAGCTGGTGAGGGATTGAGCAGCTGCGTGTCAGCCGGAGCAAAGCTGCATACACCAGCGAGGGCAAGGCCTAGCCTCAGATACTTTTGCTCCTTTGTTGCAAACTTGAGGGGAAGGTCACAGCCCCCTGCAAGTCCAGTCCAGCTGCTAAAAGGGCATTGTTCATCCTCCCACTCCCACCCAGCCAAAAGGGATGGCCTCATACCCTAGCCTGGCTGCTCTGTTTTCAACAGGGGGGTTAAGCACTTTGGAAGAACCAGCCTGACCTGTTTGCTATCAGGACTGGATCCTCCCAAGGGGGACAGGTAGTGGGAGGGATGCAGGTGGGGGGGTGGGGGGCGGGAAGAGGAGGGACAGTAGACAACCTCGGGGTTGGGTTGTGGGGAAAGATCCTACCCTTGTCATCCTCTTCACACCAGTACACTGGGCAGTGGGAGAGGCAGCGTGACCTCAGAGGTGTCTGCTCGGATTCAGAGGAAAGCTCAGGGAGAACCAGGGCTATGATGGAGCTGCCCCTGGTGCTGCTGGTGCTGACTGGGAGCTGCCTGGTCAAGGGCCTAGGTAAGTTTTCATTACTACAGGGGATGTTACAAGGTGCTGCTTTTCCTTTGTGAGGAGTGGCTGAAGGCTGTGGGGAGGGGGCAGAGCCGGGCAGGGAGAGCTCTAGGAGCCGACAGGTTTTTTCTGCTAAATCCATAATGGAAGAAGGAATTTGGTGGGGATGGGGTGTTCCTCCCCAAAACGTCAGTCAGGGAGACATGAAACCCCTTGTATCCTACAGCTGTTGAATGGCTTTGCATTAAGATCACTGCTCCTGCTGCTCTTGGGGAAGCATTTGAGGCCTGATCCAAAGCCCACTGGAGAGAGTGGAAAGACCCACTGATTTCCACTGGGCTTTGGGTCAGCTGCATGGTGAGTGCCTCAGGACCAGCTTGCCGCCAGAGGCAGGTGGCCCTGGCATCAGCATGGAGCTGGGCTGCGTTCCCACCCATGGCTTTCACTTGGCTAGAGGGACCTCCGGGTGGGTCTTCTGTCCCTGGGCAGTCACACAGCCTCAGAGTAGCAGGGAGAGCTGGGCCTCTGAACTGGGCATCTACTGTTTGGATTTGTTAATGTGGGCAAAGAGCTGGACACCTTTTGGAAGAGACTGAAACCAGGGCCACCTGCAGCTCTGTGGTGAAATGAAGCTCGTGGAACCAGTCCGTTCCCCCGGCCCAGCGTCTACACTGGGTAGCAATGCCAATAGTCAGCCTCAATGCAGGGGGCATGGAGCTGAATGGGCTGTGGAGACTGAGTGGTCTTCTCATGGCGCAAGTGGCATCTCTGCACCAGGGTTGGGGCCTATTGGCCCTGCTGGTGTCCATGCTGTACCCATCTGGGTCAGGGATTGTAAGCTGTCTGGGGCAGGGGATATCTGTATCTTGGGCCTGGACAGCAGCAAGTGCATCATTGCAACTACAACACAACTGAGCAGTAAAGACTCTGGGGTCCAGAGCTGCCAGTCCAGCAGCGTGTTCAGTCACAGAGGACTATGGTGCTCCTTTAGAACTGGACTGGGCAAGCACTGGCCCACGGCCTGTGAGGGACAATTTGGAAAGCAGGAAGGCCTGGACAGGAGCAAGTACAACTGGTTACACCTCTGTGATTAGCACCAGCAGATATTCAGGTGAGACTAGTTTGAGCTGTGAACTCCCAGAGGGATGTGAGGGGAACTGGTGAAAGCATTAGTTTATCAGTTCTCCTCTCGCCCGCTCCTCACCAAGTCCCCCCGGGCTGGCCCCAGGCTCCAGCTGCTTTCTGAGTTCTGGGCTGGAGCCCCACAGCTCTGCTGGGCACCAGGCACCTTTAAACTTCATGTACTTCCCACACAAAGCACAAGAAGCTGCTAAGACCTTTCCAGACGTGTGTCCGGTAAGACAGGCAGGGCAGGGGGTGGGCAGGCAGGGAGACACTGGAAGGACCACGGCAGGTGAGCATGCTGGAAGAGGAGGTAAGCAGGTGTTTGGGGGCTTGTTTACTTGGTTGGAGGTGGATGGGGATGGTCTCCAGAGGTTTGGAAGTTAGGATAGGGCAGAGCTCTAGTAGCCTGTCCATCTGCTTTGCAGGAAGCCCTTTCCCAGGCTGAACTGTGGGGGCAGCAGTCACACTGGTGCCCAGGGCACAGATCAGCTGGCACAGATCGGCATTGCTCTATTGTAGGCAGCAAGCAATGCCTTTTTGCCTCTGGAGCCCTGCCAGCCTAGAGCAAAGAAGGAGCCAGTCCAGGATGCCAGCAGGAGCCTTGGAAGTGAATGCAGCTGAGGCAGAGTCCCTGATTTAGGATGACAGGGACCTCCAAGATGGCATGGTCCATCCCCTGCACAGACACAGGATTTCCTGCTTCCAAACTAGCCCAGGCAGCTGTCTGGGGTTGGTTTGAGGCACCTGGTTTGTGCATTGACCTCTTGGCAGCGAGGCAGTGAAAATCCAAACGGTGCACAGCCTCACCCTGCACATGCCTGTGGTCTTTTATTCCTAATGCAACTTCTGATGGATCCCCCATGCAGTGGAAAAAGGGAAGGCTTGAACACCCTGTTTCTCTCTGGCCCTACCATGTGTTCCCCTTACTGGCACTTACTGTGTTCCCCTTTGTGGTCCCCCAGAGCTAGTGCCCTACACGCCGCAGATCACAGGCAGCTCCCTGGAAGGGAAGCTCACAGCTTCCACCTTCAGCCTGGACCAGCCCATCTGCATCTTCGATCAGTATGTGAACGCCACTGATGACATCTGGCTAGTTGTTGCCTTCGCTAATGGTACGTGCTGCTAACCTCACTGTACCTCTTGCTCATTTGACTTTCCTTGCACTAGGACACTGTCTGTCAAGGAGGAACACCACTGCCTCTACTTACCTTCTGCTTCCTTGGTCCCATTTGAGCTCTGCCTCTTCTCTAGGGGACACTGGCTTGTAGCTCCACTGTCTTTCCCACCTAATCTATAGCCAATGGGGTAGCAAAGGCAGCCTGGGCAGCACAAGGCACTGAGAGGCCTAGGCACTCATCCTGGCTCTGCTACTGGCTTACTCTGTAGCTTTGAGTAATTAATTCACTTAGGCTTGAATTTCCAGAGTGACTTCTGATGCCCAGGGCCTCAAGACTGAGAGATCTAAGATAGAGGGAAAACTATGTAAGAGCTCACCCTGAGGGCTCCCAACATCTTTTTCAGTCCAGGCAGGGTGGACAGCTGCCATCCAGACTAACTGCACTGCCTCCAGCCATTGGTAAAGGGAAACATACTTTCCTAGGCCTTCAAGGCCAATAGTTTGAATAGTAGTAATGGGTGTTAGCCCATGCACCTGCATGGCATTTTAAGGTAAGAGGCTGATAGATTCCCAGGAATGTGGGGTCAGTCATGGTGGGTCGGAACCACTGGTCCTGCAGGTTTGTCGTCTCTACTCTAGTCAATGCCTGAGGGGAAACCTTGCCCCTCGGTTTGCTCCCAGCTGCTGCACCAGGCTGTGTGGAGGGGAGGGGAAGAGAGGGGAGAGATGTACCTTCCTGACTCCTGCACATGATGAGTTCCCACTCTGGAGCATGGCCCTCAACTGCTCTTATCTCAGCCTGTTTACAATGGGCATAACTTCATCTGGCCTTTTGCAGACATCTGCCTCTGGGGCAG